ATTGAGAAGGAAAAGAATTGGGACCTAGACAAAAACATAAGCACGTAATCACAAGTGATATCCGCAAGTTATGAACGAATACATAAAGGGATGTACACATTCACTGCATCTATGTTAAAAGGATACTGAAGCAAGTGTTAGCATTTATGTGGAGAGAAACACCAAAATTAAGTTTCGTGTTCAGGACACAAGAACCTGTACATCATCTTGAAGGAGTGATAGGAGGGACTTTAAGTTATTAAAAGCTTTTATAGTCATTTCAATGGAAATAATTTAGTAAAAGTGTATTCTAAAGTTTGATACACAATTATCATGTCCTTTGAGTTTCGACATATGCTGTAACCCTTGCCCATGTTACCCAACTTACACATGCTCAAATAAAGACATACAGGTAGAGTGTAATTCTTGATTAATCAGGGCTTACCCACACACGCATAGAGATCAAAAAGAACAAGAATGTAGGGGACCCAAAATCAATTAGCGAGTGTTAAGGTCAAGAAAAATGCCTGTTTTGCTATGAAGTCCATAACTTGCGCTTCACTAAGGGAACTCTGGGGCTTTCTAACCACAAATGCCATCGGTATTTGCCCAGCTTCCTCATCAGGATACCTGCCAATTCATCATCGTCATCATCATCATCACCATGAATAAAATACACATACACGGTATGCAGTAGCAGGCTTAAATGTGAGGTGAATTCGGAACAGCACTCTTTATTTTCTTTATTTTTCAGGAGAAAAACTAAAATGACCTCCAATGTGCAAACATTTTAGGGAGGGAATTGTCTCTCATTTTCCAAAATATAAAAAATAATGAGTCTTTCAAGGAGATGGGGTCCTTAACAAGGGTGTTCTAAATTTCCATATTATTTTAAAAAGGTAGAATAAAAATACAAATAGAAGCATGAAAGTACTACAAGAGAGGAAATTATTTTATATATAAAAATTTGCAAACCACCAGATTGAATATTTCGTAACTCTTCCAGGGCATTCACGGTCATTGCCTCCGTTAACATAGTATCTAAATAATCCCAACATGCATAAGAAGATTGTTCAATTTTGTGCAATTCTTTCCATCCCTATGTGTAGATAACCTAGTGTGGGTTCACAATCAATAATGTCGTCACTGTCTAGAGCAACTGTGTCGAAGAACATCATGCATTGATCGATGGTGAGAACCATATCGACTGAATTATAGGTGTCAATGCATATTACAATTCAATCAGGACTTCATGTATATATGTTTACCTGATTCTGATCAAGATTATCAGTCATTAAGGGTGAAATTCTTTCTCAAAAGATGAAAGAAGTATCAAGTATCTTTGATTCAATTCCTAGTACCAGAACAGATTGTGTCATTAGTTGGATAAGATAAGCTATTCCATTTATCTGGAAGAAAAGACGGTTACAAGTTATCCTGCAGTTCTTCTAATACAGAGGATTTCGAAGATTTTCTTGATTTTGTACATGCATGGGAGCATACAACGTTCCATATGCTTTGCACATAAATACACCTCTTTTCTTAAGTGGAATATTATAAAAGAAAAATATAAAATAAATATTTCAAGGGGTACAATATGTAGGAATTTATATAAGGGAAAGAAATACATGCAAGGGCTAAATTTCAATGATAATATATAGTAATGCAAAGAAGTACATACAAGGGATAAATTTCAACGATAATACAAACATATAGTAATGCCTCTCTAAAATTTGTTTTGAGAAGGGGGAGTATTTAGCATTTTAAAAAAAGAATAGTACTAATTTCATATTAAAGGAAATTAAGGAGAAGCTAAATTTATTTTAAAAATGTTAACAAAGATATGTATCGCAACCTGTTCATAAAATGACTAAGGGCACCTCTTTCATATAATTACAGCCATGTCATGCAAAGGCTAGAACATCGGGGACATATCTTATATTCATTACGAGTGTAGTTTTAGGTACTCAGACATGCCATCCATCAGCTGTAATTATCAACAGATGGTGTAGACGAATAGATGCCCCGCTTTTAATCCATACTTTCTGGCAGCAGAACAACTTATCTCCCCTGCCCATTGACAAATACAAATGGTGGATGATTGATCAAAACACCAAACATTCAACTCATAGAGATGGTCCCTAGAAAGTTTTGGATACATATATTGTTTTATTCTATTTTGAATCCAAACTTTCCTCTCAAAATAAGGTGATACAATATAAATTTTCCCTCTCACATCAGAGACTAGATTTGTTTTTGCAAATTTTGTTTGTTTATGAGATTTGAGTGGTCATTTGTTTCTTATATGGAAGCAGAATGGAGGAAAGGGATTGGATTGGATTGGATTGGATTTAAGAGGATATATGTTTTTACAAAATCTATTTTGAGAGGTACTACTGTACTTGTATATACATACATACCGGAAAATAGATGCTGGATATACGTTAGGTTCTCTTCATTGTAACCCCTATCTTAAGGGAAAAAATAAGCACACCTATAAGGAAGGACAGAGAAAGGAAGTTCTGCACTTACGGAACTACAGCAGCATTTGCAATTTCCGGGTGAGAAAGTAGTATGTCTTCTAAGTCTGCAGGGGCAACCTGCATGCATGGGTTGAATAAGGCATCAAGAGAGAGAGAGAGAGAGAGAGCATCTAGCAAGTAATATTACTTGGTATGCTTTGTATTTGATCAACTCCTTCAGCCTATCAACCACGAAGAGGTGGCCTTCATTGTCTATATAGCAGAGATCTCCCGTCTTTAGCCATCCCTCTGAATCCAATACAGAATTTGTTGCTTCTTCATTACCTATGTAACCTGCATTATATTATTCTTACCTCGGCTCAAACCTACGATGTACCATTATTGTTTTCTTGGCTACATCAATGCACCAATACTTGATAACAGGTTTCCTAATTGTCTTAAAAAACAGGCCTAAATTCATAGAAAAAATTATGTCATTCCCAGCTCACTGACCAAATTATGGGGTATACCAGTCTTCAATTTAAACACTTCACATGTCTTAGAGAAAAGTTGGGAGCAAAAGGAAATTTTGAGGGGTCCCATGAAAATTGAATAGAATATGCAATAAAATTTGAAAAACTCAAATAAGAGAGGTAAAGCAGAATTTGAATATAATTTTGGCCTGGATTGACCAGTTAGGGACAAAACTAGCAAGCTAAATAAATTTAATAAAGCAGTTATAATGAAAAGAGTGGATTCCAATTTGCAATAGCTGATCTCAGACAAAAACCAAAAGTTTTGTCAAAATTCAGCTGAGTGACAACAAAATAAGTGTAGTACATTGAATGTAAACCATTTAGAATCAGCTGAAATTCATCCAAATTTAAATCTTAAGCTAAAATTGATCCTCGCACTTGGTCTAATTTACAAAATTCATGAAAATTCAGCTGAATTTGAAGCATAGAAGGTCTAAATAGCCACAATTGCCTGAATGTCTTTTGAAACTTCATCAAGGATTCAGTAAACTTCCCTCAAATACCTCATTTGGTGCTTGACTCAAGCCAACAATCCCAGGTAGATTAAGATGAAACATTGGAATTCCACCAATTTTACTTCAAATTCAGCTAAATTCCAAATCATGATCTAAGTAACCAAAAAGGAGAGAGATGATCACCTTTCATGATAGTGGCTCCTCTGACCCACAACTCTCCTTTGTGACATGGAGGTAAGCGTTGCAGTGTGTTTGGGTCTACAATCCTGGCTTCAGAACCTCCTGATAATCGACCACATGACCCATATCGCATGCATTCTTCGGGAGTCACAGTCCGAAATATTCCTCCAGCTTCTGTCATTCCAAATCCCTGCAAAAACAACCACTTAAGTGTTTTTGTTCTTTTCTCTTCTCAAAACTCATATCCCCATCAGAACAACAACGGCTAGTTTTGCTTTTCTTTTTTTTGAATATGTAAGCTCGGCTTTGAACCTTGAATGTGCTGTACTTTCATGTATTTATTTTTGGGTGTGGTTTCTATTAGGTTGCAACCTTAAACAATCCAATTATGCACACCTCCAAATTTTAGCACCTCTAAAATTTATCATAACATGTATTTTTGGTGTAAAAAATTCTTAGGATTATCAGAAAATCTACTTTCACATCTACTTATAAAATTTTAAACTCTAAAAATGATTAAAATCAAGTAGATCGATAACCATATGAAAATCTTGAAAATAGACGATCTAGATAATGTGCAGCAAGATGCACTATTATGGCACTCAATTTTTTTTTTTTTTTTATATTCATACATATGGATGTCGGGATGATCAATTAGATGGTTTTTAACATTAAAACAACCTTTTTTGATGTGCATCTTTAATTTTACATTTTGAGGTTGCAACCTTATATAAACTTTTTCCTTGATTTTTTTCTTCTCAAAATCTATATCCCCACCAAAACACTAACTGCTAGTTACCCTGTTCTTTTTTTGTGTGTGACATGGGCTTTGAAATTGGAATGTGTCAGGCTGTTAGCATTTTTTAAGTGAAATATTAAAAAGTGGATTATCAAAATAACCCATATACAAAATAAATCCAAAATATGGTGATTTTAAGAAACAAGATATATCTCATCAATATTTGGGTTTTTCAACCCAAATCATGGAATCAGTGTACCGTGACTCGCACGACTCCACATATCTCTGAGTTTGGTCGTAACTTGAGGATATTAAAACTTTCAAAACATTCTAAATTTTTTAAAAAATGTTGGATTATTTCATAATCTCTTTGTTTATGATTTGAGTGCATTTGCAAAGATTGGTGAGTGTTATATTTTGCTATAATCATTATTTTTATATTTTTCTCTCTGTTTTTTGAATTTTTTTGAAATATCTCAAAATGTAGATCGGCTTTTCTAAATCCATTTTTTCTCTAAATTTTTAAGCTTGTTTTAATTTTTTAAAGCTGCTTTGGGTTTTAATTGACGTTTATTATTTTTTTGGGGGGATATTTAAAGTTTTTTTAGGTTTTCATTGACTATATATATATATATATATATATATTTATTTTTTTTTATTTTTTTATTTTTTTTGGTAGTTTAATAGAGAAGACAACTGTGTTTTTCAAGTAGAGTAGAAGTTAGCGTTTTTAAAATTGTCGGGCAGGGTGGTGTTACTTATATTTTTATACATAGAATTGAATAAAGATTATACAATGTTTTAAATAAACAATATTAATTAAAATAAATTTAAAGGTATTTTAATCTTTTTTTAAAATATTTTTTAATCATTTTTATGGAGTTATATTTATACAAATGAACCTACATCTCAAAATTAGAAATGTCTTATTTAAATAATAAAAAGGATAAAATACTGAAATTAATTTTGAGCTACCAGATATAGCCTTGTAAATCGGTACCCCGTCCACATCATGTCGACGGGCTTCCTTTTCTTGTCAGTATCGATGATTCATCCATTAGTTCCATTCCCGACAATAGGTTACCATAGTCACGTGGATCATAATACAATATCTCAAACACATGACTGTCATGGGTACATCATATAGGATCATCACCATACAGTCATTGGGTGAACAGCAGCGATTGTAACTGCAGTGTCCGTCCCAACACTAGGGTTAATATAGGTCTTGGGGGACGCCATCAGGCAGCCCATGAGTCCTTGAGGATACTGTCCAAATGATCATATGGATCGTAATGTATTCCATAAGAACATTTATTTTTTATATAAAGAAATTAAAGTTATTATTGATAGTCGAATTTCGATCGGGTAGTTGAGGATGTGATATTAATTGAGCACAAACTTCAAAATAAAATAAAATTTTTGGAATGTTTTGAGTTTTGACACACTTCAATCTACTAAATTTCCCATCGATTGTGACATCTTTATACTAAAAGTAAATAATCTCATAGTATATAATCCCAAAAAAAAAAATTCAAATTTAAAATTTTACATAAAATGAGATCCACCGTGAGGTGTGCGCTTCTTATACTATAGAAGTAAGGTGGACCTTTAACTTTTGTTTGGAGATGTAATTTTAGTGTCCGATGCTCTAGGATGGCTTAAAAATATATTTTTATTCTTAGTTATGAAATTTTAAATATTAAAATAATAAAATCAAGTAGATTTATAAACACTTGGAAATCTTGAAAGTAGATAGTTCAAATAATTTTTTATCCAATGTATTATTTTTAGGACTTGACATTTTTTTCTTTTCATATCCAAGTCTTGAGATCTCCATAAGTGTTGAGGTTGGTTTTCTAATTTCAAATCGCATTTTTTAGATAATTTTTTAGGGGCACTTTATTTCAATAGTATAAGATGAACACCTTATATAAACTTTTTTTTTTATTTTATATAAAATTCCTATTTCTGAAAGGGTTATATTAGGGTGCTCATTTCATAGAGCATTTTATAATTAGGACGCAGTTCGCATGCGGCCAAGCCCGCGTACAAATGTGGGCTTGGCAATAAATATATTTTTAAAATATAATTTGATCCTAATTTTTAGAGAATATATAATATTTGACATGGAGATCATGAATATGAAAAGAAAAATAAATTTTGAAAACTAAAAATAATAATTATATTAAGAAAACATTCGAACCGTTAGTTACAATTGGTTTTAGATGGACCACCTATTTGCATTCATCTTTAAGATGGATACTTTATACCTCTGGATGTATATTGTACAAATACGGTTCAGCCCGTATGAAATAATTCTTCTTATAATTGTATTCAATAAATTTTGAACAATAATATCCCTTTGTTTTGTAATACAATATTTTTTTTTTTACTAAAAGCCATTTTGGTCATTCAAAGAGATGTGACATCATCCACATAGACAGTGGAGTATTATATACCATTAGTGTAGCGATGTCACGCCTCTTTTATTGACCAAAAAAACTTCTTTTACTAAAAAAAATATTGTATTATAAAATAAAGATATATAAATATACAAAATTTATTTAGTACAATTATAAAATTGTGTTGGCACCCTTACCTAACCCTTTTTAAATGTGTATTTCTAAAAGTAGGGTAAATGTGAAACTGTAAAAGTAGCGTTGATTTATGGCCAAAACGTTTTTGTAGAAAAAAATAAAAAATAAAAAATAAAACCATGTGGAGGCCTTGCACTCTGGAGGCACATCAACTATCCATTGATAATGAGATAGACGGCAAAGAGAGGACTGTGTATAACTTTACTGAATAAAAAAAATAGTGTGTATAACTAGAGCCGGCAACAGTGGGGGCCTGGCGTAATAGAGCTGGCCTTGCCCTGGCCTGGACCTGGCCAAAGGGCAAAGTACAGGACCAAGCAGGGCAGGGCAGGGCTGGGCTGGGCTGACCAGCCGTCGGACTATGTTGGCCAGGACCTGGCTGATCCTCAGGCCACATTTTGTAGCTCATGCCCTCCCTTTTCAAGGCCGGCCCGATTAGGCGGGCCACCAGGCGATCGCACCCCTACTATAATAACCTTTATAGGGCAGTGATTTCAGGGAACAGTTGAGCTACTATTTACCTGGGCAACAATGACCCATGGGAACCTCCTTTTAAACCTCGTGATCATCTCCTTTCCAAGCGGCGCGCCGCCGATGATCACCGCCTCCAAACTACCCAAATCAAAACCTTTGGCCTCCTCACCTGTACTCATCGCTGCCAAAACGAGCGGCGCCGCCACCAAATGCGTGACCCTCCACTCCTCCACCGCCCTGCACACAAACCTCACCTCAAACATTCCTTCACCCGTCAGAACCACCGTCTCCCCAAACGCCAACCCCTTCAAGCAAACGGCGAAACCGTAGGCGTGAAATAACGGCACCGTAATGAATGAGCACGTCCTCTTCTCGATCCTCAATGACAATAGCTCCGCCAGCATTGCAGTGTAATTTCTTTGTGTCCAAATAACGCCCTTGACTCGGCCCGTCGTGCCAGAGGAGTAGAGGATCGATGCAGGATCATCTGGATCGATGGTGACCCTTTCCGGGCTCGATCTCGGCGATTCAATGAGTCGGCGGAATTCGAGCGAATCGATCGAGATGACTCGGTTTTGGGCTGGGATTTTGTGAGCTGCTGAGGAGTGAGCGAAAATGAGGGCTGGTTTAGATATTTGGATTTGGTGCTCTATCTCAGACTTGGTGTTTATTGGGTTGGAAGGGGAGACAATGGCTCCTAGAGAGAGAGAGGAGAGAGAGATTATGGGGATATAGATTGAAGATGGAGAGAGAATGAAGACGCCATCACCTTTTTGGATGGCAAACTCGGATTGAAGAGAGAAAGAGAGAGAGGAGACCATTGATCGGAGATCGCCATAGGAGATGAGGGACTTGGCGGAGACGTCGACGAGGGCGGGGGAGGAGGGAGGCGGGTTGGGGATGAGAGAGAAAATGTATGATGTGAGGTCGAGAGGAGTGAGATTGGGCGTGGGCCGGAGGCTGTAGAATGTGCCCTTGTCTCTGCAGAACCCGCTCTTTGGGTCGATGCATGAGGGGCGAGGACCCATCTCTCTCTCTCTCCACTGAACTCCCTCTCTCTCACTAACATATTACTCCATTTAATGACTACATAATCATTATGATAATCAATTCATAAGATATGATATCATATTTATAAGATATGATATCAATTCATAAAACTATGACTAATAATCATGTAGTCATAAGACTACATAAAACAAAAAAATTTCAATTGCTGTGATATTTTTTGTTTTTCAAGCCATATACTATACAAAACCTTTTATAAATTTCACACGCAATAAAACATTGCTCTTATATTTTTTGTTTTTCAAGCAATGTACCATATAAAACCTATCATAAATTCTAAACTCAATAAGGCATTGCTGCCATATTTTTTGTTTTTCAAGTCATATATCATACAAAAACCTGTCATAAATTTCAAATGCAATAAAGCACTGCTCCTATATTTTTTGTTTTACAAGCCATATATCATACAAAACCGTGCCATAAATTTCAATAACAATAAAGCACTGCTCCCATATTTTTTGTCATAAATTCCAAAAGCAATAAAGCACTACCGCCATATTTTTTTTTTTTCAAGCCATGTATCATACAAAATCTGCCATAAATTCTAAACGAAACACCGTGTAGTATTACAAATAATTAAAATATTCACCTCCCTACCTTTTAACCTCTTCTACCACCACCAA